GGTCTATAGAGCCTGTGTCCTAAGCACACTCCTGTACTGCAGTGAGTTCTGGACACCTTGTGCACGGCAGGAGAGGAAGCTGAACATGTTCCATATGCGCTGCCTCCGGCGGATTTTTGGTATCACCTGGCAGGACAAAGTCCCAAACAGAGTAGTCCTAGAACGAGCTGGAATTTTCAGCATAAATACATTACTGAAACAGCGACGTCTACGTTGGCTTGGGCACGTCGTGAGAATGGCTGATGGTCGGATTCCAAAGGATCTCCTGTATGGAGAATTAGTGCAGGGAAAGCGCCCCAGAGGGAGACCACAGCTATGATACAAGGACGTCTGCAATCAAGATCTGAAGGCCTTAGAAATAGACCTCATCAGATGGGAAACCCTGACATCTGAGCATTCAGCCTGGAGGCAGGCACTGCATCGCGGCCTCTCCCAATTTGAAGAGACCCTTGCCCAGCAGGCCGAGGCAAAGAGGAAGTCACAAAAGCAGCAAAACCAGGGAGCTCGACAGGGGACAGATTGGATTTGTCTTCAGTGTGGAAGGGATTGTCACTCTCAAATTGGCCTTCTCAGCCACACTAGACGCTGTTCCAAGTCCTCAATACAGAGCACGTTACCATAGTTTTTCGAGACTGAAGGATGCCTAACACATTACCATAAAAGGATGATCATAAGAACTTAAGAGCAGCCCTGCTGGATCAGGCCAAGGACCCATCTAGTCCAGCTTCCTGTATCTCAGAGTGGCCCACCAGAGGCCTCTGGGAGCACACGAGGCAACTAGAGACCTGTCTCCTGATACCCCTCCCCTGCGTCTGGCATTTTGATCAAGGCTTCACATGTAGGATGTCAGCCAGAGCGGCTGATTGGGACTGGGCATTACCACTTTTCCTCGTGCAGTAGCACCGCCCGTGTGCCTAGGGAGGCAATGGGAGAAAGGGAAGCATGCCTAGTGCATAACCCTGTCTGCACTAAGATCTAGAGATTCAGAGATGATAGAGGCACTTGTTTATCTCTAGCAAATTACACTACCACCTGAAAACAGAGAAATATAAAGCTGGTTCTTCTAGACTGGGATAGGAAGAAACAGAGAAGACCTGAGAAGACACCCATTCTAGGGATGGACAAAACCTACCCCTTCAGAAGTGTTTGGACAGGAGCTGTGCTGGCAATGTCCGATGGGAGTAGTGAATCAACAACATCTGAAAGGCCACATGTTTCTCATCTGTAGTTGTTCTACAGAAAACTATGCAGACAAAGCAATGGAAGCAGGATTGAGCAGAAACATTCCATGAATGGAACAGACATGGTAGAGAAAAGAGAGGTTTTATACCTTTAGGGCAAGGCCCATCATTTGGTCATAGAAGCCAGTTTGCCTTAGGTGGCCAATTTGGGGACATTATTAAAAGAAGATAAGGTTGCAAAATATTTCAGTTATTATTAGGGTTAGTGAGGGGATTTTCTATGTTAAGGCAGAAACAGAAGAAATGGCAACTTCATAATTAGAAGCAGAACCGTGATAAGAAATAAAGGATATCTGGTTATCTTTCAACATTGTTTTGCAGCATCACAGGTTGCAGAGTATCTTGCTTCTGTGTGATGAATGAAATCAAGGGAGATTCAACCAGCAGAGCATGATGAAGAGTTTCCTTTCCCAACTACTTTGAACCCATTGTCTAGTAATGACAAAAGCATCATGACTCTGAACCCGATTCCATTCAAACGTGCTCTTATATGTTTTCTACTATATTGTGTCGCCCTTTTTAAAAAAAGGGGTGGTAATTTGTATCTTGAAACAATGAATATGAGAACAGGCATAGGCAGAAACTCCAAATCTTGAGAGTAATAGGACAGGCTTTTCCTCATTACTGCTTTTAGAGGAGATGCTGGCAGTGACAGCTTCTGTCTAGCTCAGTGGTTCTTAACCACATGTCCCCAGATGTTCTTGGACTGCAACCACTAGCTGTGCTGGCCAGGATTTCCAGGTGTTGTAGTCCAAGAACATCTTTCTCAGGGGTTGAAGAGACAGCATACAGGAAGAATTTGAAAGTTACAGACAACCTATAACTAGATTTTTAACAACACAGGTAGGAGTCTGTTTCTATGAACATCCACTGTACATGGTTGCTACAGGAATAGTTGCTACAATAAAAGAGCCCATGGAAGAGGCTGCCCAGAAGAAAACTATTACATGGTGCAGGGTTGGACGTAATCTTTCTCTCTTTCTAACAGATACACTCAGAGACAAGCATTTCTCATTTTTCCAAAGACGTGGGATAGAACATGGATTAGACACAACACAAATGTATGCATCTATGAGATACTGACGCTAGAATCACCCTGATATGCTTGATCCCAGATTGTACCCACTGGGACTATCAGCTAAAAATGAAATGAACGGAGTTACATTATGGTCCTGGATCTACGGCCAAAGCCCCAGAGATAGGAGCCAGTCAAAGATGCATATTGAAGGGCCCTACCACGTAGAGTCCAAAGCTGGCAGGAATGAAGCCGAACAGGCTGGGGACAGAAACCATGAACCTAGCAAGTAGCATAGGCGGTGGCTTTGTCCTGGATATACTGTAGAAGGTCGCTCACTTGTTTCTCCAGTTCCTGCAGGTGGTTTGCCTTGTCCTTCATTTCTTTTTCATTGGTCTCAAAGAGCCCCTCCAATTCTGAAAGAATAACCAGGATTTTTGAGAAGTTGGAAATATACACTCATGGAAGTAATAACTGTTTTTCAATACAGGGGAAAAAGGAAATGTACTGCAACCAAAGTTTGGGAAAAAATCATATATTCCCATTATATTTAACAAGTAATGTATCTCTCATATGTTACTTATTAGAATGTTTACAGAGCATAACTCATTGCATAACTTATTGTGTTATCATCATGACTAATAAGATAAAAACATAAAATCTGAAAAATTATTGCCAAAATGCATAGGAATGCCCTTAAAAGGTGATTTGCAAACGTTATTAAAAATGTTGCACATTAGACCAATAAGATAGCCTTTTCTCCATCCAGTGGCTCAAATCTAGTGATAAGTCACAACTAAAGTGGGGCCACTGAATCAGTGGGGATTTGGTGGCTCAACTTCTCTGTAATTCAATGTGCCTACTCTAGTTGCAACTTACTGCTAGATTTCAGCCACTGTTTTATATTTAAAATGTAAGTTCATTACACTCTCATTTGCAAACAAAATTGGGATCTACTTAAACATAATGATAGCTCTGGGCACCAATGTATCAACAAGCTGGAATGTGTCTTAGACAAGGGCAACCGAGATGGTAAAGGATCTGGAAACCAAACTCTGTGAAGAATGGTTGAGGGAGTTAGATTTGTTTCATGTGCAAGAATTAAAGAATTAAAACAGCCATCTTGTAATATATGTATCTCTCATATGTTACTTATTAGAATGTTTACAGAGCATAACTCATTGCATAACTTATTGTGCTATCATCGTGACTAATAAGATAAAAACATAAAAGCTTCACCACTAGCTGTGCGGGCCAGAATGCAACTTACTGCTAGATTTCAGCCACTGTTTTATATTTAAAATGTAAGTTCATTACACTCTCATTTGCAAACAAAATTGGGATCTACTTAAACATAATGATAGCTCTGGGCACCAATGTATCAACAAGCTGGAATGTGTCTTAGACAAGGGCAACCGAGATGGTAAAGGATCTGGAAACCAAACTCTGTGAAGAATGGTTGAGGGAGTTAGATTTGTTTCATGTGCAAGAATTAAAGAATTAAAACAGCCATCTTGTAATATATGAAGGGCTTTCATGTAAAAATGAAGAAGGCTTATTTTCTGTGGCTCTAGAGCAGTGCTTCCCAATCTTGGGTCCCTAGATGTTCTTGGACTAAACCTCCCAGCAGCCTTCACCACTAGCTGTGCGGGCCAGAATTTCTGGGTGTTGCAGTCCAAGAACATCTGGGGACCCAATTAAATTCCAGCAGGAACTTACTGTTGTTAAGAGCTGTTGGGCAAATTACTTTGACAGGTGACTCTCCTTCAATGGGTGCTTTGAATAGAGGTTGGATAGCCATCTATTAAAGATGCTTTAACCATGGATTGGCAGGACACTGGATGAGATGACCTTTGGGACCCCTTCCTTTCCAACTCCAGAATTCTGTGATTACTTGTCACTTGCTACTACCAGTCTCAGCAACAAAAAGCCTCAAGAGGCTCAGAGCCCAAGTACAGAGCTCAAGGTTCATCGCTCCTGTCGTGAAGAGTTTAGGTGGTCTTAGATGAACATAAGTAACATCAGTCTCAGCCTCCAGTCTGGGATATTAATAATGCTGACCTAATTTTGTAATGATCATTTATTTTGTTTGCTTGTTTCATTTCTAGTCTGCCTTTCTCCTAGTGCAAGGATCCATTAGGGCTTAAACTCTGGACCTCTGACTGCCTTAATGCTGATGTTATTTTATCTTTTTGGTGCCAGACTGACACCAGATGCCTTCAGAAGCAATGTCTTATAAACCTTTCCTCCTTAAATGAGGGTGTGCCAGGACCTGGGTCCTTTTCCCTAGGAGACTGAGCTGAGGCTGAAGACCAGGTTTGCCTGCATGGACATTTTGATGAGGAGTTTGTTTTTGCTGGGATTTCTTTTGTTCCCCCCACCACACCGCATGGCCTAGGAGGTGGGGCTTTCCCTCCTTAAATGAGGGTGTGCCAGGACCGCGCGCATAACGGCTCGCGAAATCCTCAAATTCTCTGACTCTCTCTCTGACACTAATATGGTAAATAGGAAAGCCAATTAGCATTGCATACACCTAGGAGGCAGGAAAGTTTTAATGGTCGGATCATACTTCCGCACTATTAGAGAGCAGGCTGGGTAGGTGGGGCTCATCAGCCATAGAAGGCAGCCCATCTAGGAAAAGGAAAACTCCAGTTTCAAACCTCCACTGCCTCGTGGCTATATCCACTCATGGAAAGGGCTTCAGGAGTTAACCTAGAGGCAAAATCTGGAGCTGGAGTCCCGAAGGCAGTTTGTGTCGTTCTGCCAACTCCGGCAACATTGCTGAAAACAGTTGTATTGGCCCTTGCCTTTCCATAGGACCATTTCAGCAATGTGGAGAGGGGGGATTTGCTGCTTGGGTAACAGCCTATCCTCCATATTACTTTACCCAGGCTTCATGCTCTGGAGAGGACACTTCTCAATACAGAGCATGTTACCATAATCTCTCAAGACTGAAGGATGCCTATGATAAACCTTCAGCCATTCCATTGCTCACACCATGCCTCTCAGCACATGCCCAGACCACCTGCTGAAGTATCACAGCATTGGCTTCTTAACACAGAACTTCCATGGTCCCTTTGGAGCTGTCGCTTCTTTTAACATGTCAAGAGATGATACAGGCTGCATTCATACGACACTCTTATAACTTCACTCTTCCTTCTTTTTATTTTAACTTGGATATAATTATATCACCAAAAAACAAAACAACGTTAAAATTGAAATTTTACACCAAACCGTCCCTCTGGCATCTTTACCTTCCAGCTTCCTCTTGCTGCTGTTGGCCTTGTCTAGGAGATTCTGGGCTTCATCCCTCAAGGTTTTCAGCTTGAGCAGTACATCCTGAGGTTGAGCCCCCAGTTCATCTTGCAACTTCTGGTATCTCAGCATCACTTTCTCCACCTCCTGGGAACATAGAGATCAAGTTACTGCTTGTGGCAAAGGACTGGATGGAAACTGGCTGGGGTGTGTGTGTCACACACACAAAGAGCACTGGGGACTGTGTGCAGCCATGTGTTGTCCTTGAGTTAAAGGAATGAAGAGTCTTACCCTTTCTAGTCTGCCTGCAGCAGTGGTAGCACGCTCAGCTTTTCCCCTGGCCTCTTCGGCCAGCTGCCGATTGGCCTCAGACTTCTTCTGCAAGGTGGCCACATCCTGCGCTAGCCCTGCAAGATGTCTTTCTGCCTGGAGCTCCTTATTGGCCAGTGCCTGCAGCTGGTTCTCAGCCTGAGAGAAAGGAAACCGCAAAACACAAACACCCAACCTGTTAGAAAAGAACAAGGTCTGCCTGGACACCATTCACTGAAATCTTCTCACCTTGGTTTAACAGCATAAGGGCAAGGAAGGACAAGGCAGATACACAGCTCATGCACTTAGCTAAGTTTTTAATTGGTGAGGAAATTCCTTTTGCTTTGAAGTTTTGACTATTTGCCAGTACTCTGCTATGTTTCTGTCATACTAAGTTTGCAAATTGCTGTTTCCAGATTCAACTAATGAGTTTTCCAGGACCTGCTTTACTATTGTTTTACAGATGGCCAGACTGTTTCCAAAATTAGGTTACAGATATAAGGGAAGACATAATGGCAAAGATTTAACATATTTATGATAACATATTTATGATAACATCTTATACCATAATCAGCACCTTGTCACATTGGTTTTTAAATTCCCTGACATATGATACCAGCAGAGTGGACCTAATATAAATAGTTACATAGTTAGTTGCTAACAGAAAATAGTTGAGGAACTGTCAACTGATTTATGCTTAGAATAATTATGGTTTGGGGATGCTTGCCTAGTCCTCTTTCTAATTAACGATTTGTGCAAATACTATTGTTATGTGACACAATGTGAATGTCTGTTAGTTTCCTAACTTTGCAGAAAGTTACAACTTGTATTTAAGAAAGCTAACATTAATCTGTTTTATAAACTGGTAGAAATTATAAACTCATGGTAGAATTTTTGTGCAGGATACATGAATAACATGTCTTGCTTCTGAGTTCTGATTCCAGTCAGCTGCCTTCTTATATTGCTGAATGAAGTTAGGGTGCAGCGAGCCTCTTGCAAGCTTTGCTTTCCAGCTCAGGCTTGATGTAATAACACAGGCATCCCAAAGCTTCATGGGCTGGTAATGCTAAGAGTGTATTTTAAGGAAAATCTTTAATTAAACAGAAAATGCCTTGTGGTGGCTCACCTGAAACTGGTTTGCAGAATACAAGAAAACTTCAAGTGGCATGATTTCAGAGTGAAAGCAAAGTAAATAATCTCTAACCCGACTAGAACATTACAGAAAGAAATATATGTATCTGGAATGCAGGACAAAATGAACACCCTGGTTCAAAGCATACTCTTAAATGCCTTCTGGGAGGATACAGGAAAACTTTATCCTGACCAGCATCCAACCTTCCAGAGAAATGCAAGCAGGCTGGCTATAAATGGGAAGCCTTCACCTCACCTGTTTGACTCTGCTCTCCACATTGCGGATGGCCTCTTTAGCATTCTTCATTGCTCGCTCTGCTGTGCTCACTTTCTCCTTTGCACTTCCTAGTGCTGAGCGTGTTTCTGTGATGGTTGCCTCAACACTCTCTGCTCGCTCTCTGGGCACAAAGGAAGAATGTGTTGTAATACCTCAAAGACGAATACAGTTATTGTAGCGCCAGCTTTTGTGATTAAAACTCAGAGTATCTCTCTCCCCTTCCTCCCCCAACAAACTCACAGAAACAGAAGCAATCTGTAACTAAAGAAAAAATTTCAAAGAGATTACATCCGAATGTAAAGAGTTTTTGTTCTACCAGTTACAAAAAGCAAATGCTATGGGGAGGAGCTGTTAAAAAGGAGACACACTCTTATACTTATTATTTGTTTTTCTTTTTGAGAGTCTACATGGGTAATCATGAAAATAGACGAAGAAGAAACCAGATGTTTGCTTTAAAAAAAATTGCATACTTTTGTAAGTTCCTAGCTAACAAGGCCACGAAAAGTCCTGGGGGGGGCATACTTTTGTAAGTTCCTAGCTAACAAGGACCATGAAAAGTCCCGGGGGTGGGGGAGGAATTTGTTTTAAGACAGAGCTGATCACAGTTCTGTCCAACAGAACCTTGGTGTTTTTTTAAAAGCTGATCACAGTTCTGTCCAACAGAACCTTAGGTGTTTTTTTTAGGACTTTCAAGTGCACTTGAAGCATCATGGAAAGGCGCATCCTGTTCCACTAGAGATTCAGAGTTTGTCCAGAGAGAGCAGTATGCTTTTCTGCACTTGCTCTTTCAGGTTTTTTTTCTCCATGAACTAGATGACACAAGACTCAATCTAATAAGGTCTGTGCCTTTCCATGTTTTTCTGATCTTGTTAACGGTGTAATTTCTTTTTATTTGGGGATCTTTTCTGAGTGGGAAGAGATTAGCACAACAGCACTTCCTAGGAGAGTTCCATTTCCAAATCAGAGGCTCCTAAGTCAAAGGGCTTTAATTAGCATTTAACTAGCATTAAAAATGGGGGGAACTCTCTAGACGCAAAGGTGCAGAAGTGAAGTAGGATTATAAAGACTCACAAATATTTCTTTTACTAGAGAAGCAATTTTCAAAAACAAGTAAGACCTGCTGTCCTTTGGGAGGAACCACACGTATCTGTTCTCATTTGGTACATAACATTTTCTCTGTTCCACCTTCACTGAGTGTTCGAAGGAGCTAAGAGAAAATGACAGGGAGCTCCTCCCTTTCCTCATAAACGACTGTGTTGAGATCAACAGATTAAGGCTAGAGTATTCTGACAAAACTTCAAAAATGTGTGCCTTTTATTAATTTCACTTATAGAAAACTCAATTGATCAAAGAAATGTATTATTTTTCTCACAGACAGACTTACTTAGCCTTTTGTGCATTCACCAGTAGCTCCTTTGCATGGGTCAGATTCTGCATTGTGCAATTCAGGATGATGTCCACTCCATCCAGCTGCCCAATTCTGTCCCGGATCTCCTTAATCAGATTGCTGATCTGAGTGGGGCTGCTGGGCAAGGAGATATTCAGGACTTGCTGGGCCACAAGTTCAATGCTCTCAGGATCAGCTCCTTCCTCTAGGGAGACAAGAGGAGACAATCACTCTGCTGGAGATAAGCCACCGTACGTGTAACTATCCATCCGTATCTTCCAGGTTCTCTATCAACCAATTTAATTCCCCCACCCCACATGCATATACCCCACAAATGGCTGAATAGCCATTGATCGCATTTCATTAAATTAAAAATCAATACCATAATTTAACATGCAAAAATTGTGGCTTGAATAAGTAGTGGAGTTCAGTTAGAAGTGTCGTTTTAAATTGATCTTAAATTACATTGTTTTATACATTTTAAACTGTTTTAAATGGATACGTTGTTTTAGAGGTTTCACCCTGTTTTAAACAAGTACATTGCTTCACATGTTTTTAAACTTCCACATCATTTTAGATTGTTTTTGTTGTATCTTGCCCTGAAATCTCGTGATATAGAAATATACAGTACAGAAAAGAAATATTCTCCATACATAAGTAAATAAATGGGTGTCAGAATATTGGCAAATGCAGAGCTTACACTGTATTGAGTTATCAAATTTGTTAGGGCAACAGCAATTCACCCCTTTTCTCCTGTTATGTCTGATTTATGTTCAGTGCGAGTAATCCTCTGGTACCTGCTAGGAAGTCCTTTATCTTCTGAATGAATTCTCTGAGCTTGGCCGTTGACTTCTCCACGCGGCTTTGGGTACCTTGAGCGCGTCCCAAAGTGTTTTGGGCACGACTCCTGGCATCCTGAGCCAAATCCTGGATTTCCTGCACCTACAATTGAAGCACAGCTTAGCAAGCCAGGCTAGGGTAGGGAGTGGCACCAGAAATCGATTATACAACATGTACATCACAAGTGTTTGTACAAGGAAAGGGCTGTAGGTATATGAGCTCGCCATTCTGGGTCACACTGCTGCGGAGAAAGGCTTGGAAGGATCAACTGATAAGGTTGGTCTGGGGCTTCTGTTCAGAGGATAGGGCTTTTCAGAGCCTGTTCGGCCGCTTCTGCCTTGTGTCTAAGGGCCAGTGCTTCTGTTCTTATTACTGCTTATACAAGTTTCCAAACCTGAACCCCACCACCACCACCTCAAATTCCTAGAATTACAAAACCTCTAAGCACCATAATTCTGAACATGAGAAAAGATTTGTGAATTCATTTGATTTTCATCGTGTGTTTTAACAACAGAATTTACCAGATTTGCAATTGGCTAATTTGTTTTGGCAACCGTTCGTCTACAGAATGTAAAGTCTGTGTGGTTTGTGGTGGTGCCCAGCAGTCCAGGTTGAAAGAACTGGGAAGGCCTTGGGGACCCAAAACAAACACCGAGGATCGACTTATCTGCCACTTGCTTCTCTGCATGGCCCCTGCTGGCTGGGGAGTTCTGGGAGTTGCAGTCCAAAAAGTAAGTTGCCAAACACAATTACAAAGCAGACAACACTTTTGGGCCTCCTACACAACACCGCTAAGTCACTGCAAGACATTTCTCACAAACCACAAAGTACCAGAAAGTTAGCTACTGGAATAAACTGCATCTATCACCAGCCCTCGCAAGCAGAGCCAATGGAATAGTGGGAATGGCAGCCCAGCAACATCTAAAGCAGTGGTTCTTAACCTTTGTTACTTGGATGCTTTTGAACTGCAACTCCCAGAAACCCCAGCCAGCACAGTTGGTGGTGAAAGCTTCTGGGAGTTGCAGTCCAAAACTCCTGAGTAACCCAAGGTTAAGAACCAGTGATCTAAAGGGCCCCAAACTGATCCCTTCTGGGCTAGAGAAACCAGTTCAGCAAGAACTACTGTCTATCTCAGTGGTTGCAGCTTCTGGATGCAAGGTTGCGAGTTCGATTCCTCACTGGGCCTCCTTGACAGGGGCTGGACTTGATGATCCATAGGGTCCCTTCCAGCTCTGCAGTTCTAAGGTTGTTGTTTGTTGTTGTTGTTGTTGTTGTTGTTGTTGTTGTTGTTGAAAACCTCCAGTGGCTGCATGTTTTGTATTACATCTGGACTAGGATTCCTGGCTTGTCCCTTTCCTAACAAGCTAAAATCTGAAACCAGAGTTTGTCTTCCAGTTCTTATCTTCTTTGAGAGCCGCAAGCTGTTAATCCCAGCTCAGACCAACTCTAAGCAAGGCAGTGCTCAGAGTCCCCTTAGTTATTCAGGCATTCTCAACGAAATCTGAAACCAGAGTTTGTCTTCCAGTTACCTTCGAGAGCCGCAAGCTGTTAATCCCGGCTCAGACCAACGCTAAGCAAGGCAGTGCTCAGAGTTCCCTCAGTTATTCAGGCATTCTCAACAGTGGAAGGGGTCACATGGGAACAATTAACACAATACTGATAAAACAATAAGCCATATTTCTCAGAAACCTTTTATGTGCAATCTTTATGTGCAGCCCCTGACATAAACTAATAGGGTGGAAGAGCCCTTCTCTCCACGTTAATGTCAATTTCAACTCTCATATCGTTATCCTAATGTTGTACCTTGCTAGCGATGGTGCCCAGTTGCCTCGCCATAGTCTCCAAGCGGTACGAGATATTCTGGGCCGTAGACAGGGCATCCGTAGACACAGGCAGCGCTCCTATGCAGCCAGGGCCCCCACAGTGCCGCTGACCTTCGCTGTCCTTACAGGAAGCTCCTCCACACAGTTCACAGCCTCCCTCTACAGAAGCACCGCAGATCTAGAGCAAGACAGCAGTTCAGGATCAGTGCAAAGAGACAGGCACCTGGTGGGATCCCCGTCTCCTCTGGCAGAAGAGGAGGGGAAGTACTAGGAACATATGGCAATGAAATTTGTCCCAGGCTCCTTGCCTCTCGAAAAAGCTTTCTCCCTGCTTCCCTCGGTTCTCTTACCCCCACTCTGCCTCCCTTGAAGAACTCACTTTCTCATTGATGCCACTTAAACCGAGGCCACGGACGTCTCCCTGGATGTTAAGCAGTGATTTCTGGTGAGCGGCGGCGGTCTTGTTAAACGCGTCCCCCTTACGTCTCAACAGGTCGGTGGTGGCCTGGCGTGTGCGTTTGGCGTGGCCCAGCGGGCTTCTGGCTCCTTGAACGGAGGCATTGGCTCGCCGCTGGGCTTGCTCTGACAACTGGAAGGACTCCGAGATGCTACGGAAAGACTCTGCCGGCACAAGGAAACCAGACATGTTTCAAGGAAAAGGCTGTTCTTTGGTTTGGGACCTCTTCTTTTTGTGTGGGTACAGTTCCTGTCTCTCTTACCATTGAAGCTGGCGTTTGTCATCTTCCCCATCTGGCGGCTGAGGTCGCTGACCGTGCGGTTCAGCTCCCCAAGCTCTCGGCTCAGCTTATTCAAGCGGCTCCTCTGCCCTGTAGCTTCTTTTTCTGTGCCATCCAGGTTTGAATCGGTGGCTTGCAGCTGTTGCCACAGCTCATCCATGTCTGCCCTGGGAGTGGCGAGAGACAGCAGTTTTACTCCTGCTCTGCCCATGATGCTCAGAAGTCACTGGTTTTAATCTAGTTGCTTCATTATACCAGTGCTTTCTGACCTGGGAGTCTCGTCTTCCCTATCTTGTTCCATTCTCAGTCGTATCATCATAGGGTTTGCAAGATGTGTATGTACATATTACATGTGTGAACACAGAAATGCCCCTGTTAAGCTGCTTCTGTCACATCCTAAAGTGGTCCAAAGATATGCTAGAACTTGGCACAGAGTGGGAGAAAGCTCCCTCATTGTACGGAAGGGGTAGTCCATTTAAGTAGATAAGGGTTGATTACTTTAATATTGATTTACTGTTACTTACTTGTAATATAACCAAGACAGGTCTATTCTCTTAGAAGAAAAACATGTGACTCCCTCTCAAAGCCTTCTGAGGGACACCTGTCAGCTAGTCTTGCCGACCTCAGGTGAACTGAAGAACAAGTAAGGCACTCCAAGAATGGTTATACTCCATTTTATCTCCGCCCATCACTACCAAAAACGAACCTCAAAACTCAAAATTTTCCTTGCAAGTATCGAGGTAATCAAGGCTGGGAATACCATGTGCCAACGAGATTTCGAGAACAGGCATCATTCCCAAGAGACATGATTCTGAACATGAGACAACAGGCCCTAATTGTGCTACCAAATTATACTAACTCATAGCTCTTTTAGTGTTATCCCTTTCCCCAAAGATATTACCCAATTCTTGCAATGGACACAAAGAAAAATTCTAGGCAACTTTCTTTTTTTTTCTGCCGCCCTCCCCCCCAGTTCTGCCCACCTTTGTCTGGCACATTTCAGGTCTCCCTACCTGATATCTGCCAGAAGGCTACTGAGTTGGTGCAGTAGAGGGGTGCTTGGACTGCTGCCATCCCCAAGCAGCTGCTCTACGTGGCCGAGGCTGTTCTCCAGATGGCGCATGCGGTTGTTGCTGGCTTCAGGGATGGGGCCACCCTCTTTCAGGGCCTGCACGGCATCCTGCAGGCATTGCAGCTGCTCCCAGAGCTGGCTCAGGACCCCATCCCACTGACCAAAGCAAGGGTGGCAGGGAGAACAACGGGGAAAGTTCTGCCGGAAGCCACGCAGGCACTGATCGCAGCGCTGCCCTGTAAAGCCATCACGGCATGGACACTGTCCAGTAAGGTGGTCACACTGCAGACTCTCAGACCCTGCAGGGTCACATTCACAAGCTGTTAGTGGGCAAAAGTAGAAGTTATGTCCGGTGAAAACTCAGTGCTTGGCAATAATTCATTGAGAAGATCCTTTGTTACTCCCAATTCATGACTTTTTTTAAACTGTGATTTTAAAATTTGTTATTTAAATCTTGACAATATTAAAGGGCTGTATAATAATGTTTTTCATCTTATTTTTAATTTGTTACTTGGTAGGGCAGGTTTAGCCAATTTATTTTTAAATCTAAAACTAATGCATTACAATTGGATTGTTACAAATTGTTTTTCACATTGTCACTAAAGCCATCAGTGTTAACAGATCAGTTTCCATATTAATGTTAATGGATTAGTTTCATCCTAATGTTTCCCAGCTATGGAGAGTTTGCAAAAGCAATGGTTGACCCAGTACTCATTTGCAAAGGCGGATCACCATGCCCAGTTGCTCTAGGATTGGGAAGCATATCTCTAGGGCCACCAGCAACATTCCCTGTAATTTTCTGGAGCACTGCGCAGCAGTTCCGCTCCTTGCATGTAGAGTTCCAGCTGCAAATGGGCAGAAACACTGGGTTGGCTGTCCACGTCCAATGCAGTGCTGTGTATCCATGCATCTTAGAGGGAACGTTGGTTACCAGTACTGGATCAACAACCATTAACAGAGAACCCAAAGGATGTATGTGGCCAGCGCTAAATTGAGACACTGTTAGAGATTTGATCTTGAGCATGGTTAGATTTTGAACTGATAGCACAATTAGTATCAGACAAATGAATTCTGCCCATGCTTTATTATCGCAGCTCTGGCCCAAGGAGAAAAGTACAGTGGTGCCCCGCATAGCGATGTTAATCAGTTCCAGGAAAAACGTTGCTATGTGGATTCGTCGCTATGCGGGGCAGAAAACCCCATAAGAACGCATTAAAACACGTTTAATGCGTTCTTATGCAGGATAAACTCACAGTTATGCGAAGATCCCTCATGCGGCTGCCATTTTCATGCCCTCGGTAAGTGAGGGCAGGGCGCGAAAGCAGAGCGGGCAGCCATTTTCTTTACCTGGCGGCCATTTTATAACCGCCGATCAGCTGTTTTTAAAAAATCGCTATGCGAAAATTGGTAAGCGAAACGCTTACCGATCGTCACAAAGCGATTTTTGGCCATTGGAAACATCAGTATGCAATCGCATTAGCGATCGCAAAATTCGCATCACTATGTGGATTCATCGTTAAACGGTGCGCTCGTTATGCAAGGCACCACTGTATAGGGAAACCAATAGAATACGAGGAGATGCTGCCTTATCTCCAGTTAGCCCATAAGTCAACCTGGCTTTGCCTTGTCTCTGCCAAAAATGTGGTCTTGCCCTATACAACCTAGAGATGCTGTGGTTTGAACCCATCCCGGGCAGTGGAGGGGGAAGGGGGAAGAAAAGGACCCAGCGCTGCCGGGCGCTTGGCTCCTCCTCCCCCTTCACCTCCTCCTCTTCCAGCCGGCAGCCGGCTGCCTTGTCGCTTCCCGGGCAGTGGAGGGGGAAGGGGGAAGAAAAGGACCCAGCGCTGCCGGGCGCTTGGCTCCTCCTCCCCCTTCACCTCCTCCTCTTCCAGCCGGCAGCCGGCTGCCTTGTCGCTTCCCGGGCAGTGGAGGGGGAAGGGGGAAGAAAAGGACCCAGCGCTGCCGGGCGCTTGGCTCCTCCTCCCCCTTCACCTCCTCCTCTTCCAGCCGGCAGCCGGCTGCCTTGTCGCTTCCCGGGCAGTGGAGGGGGAAGGGGGAAGAAAAGGACCCAGCGCTGCCGGGCGCTTGGCTCCTCCTCCCCCTTCACCTCCTCCTCTTCCAGCCGGCAGCCGGCTGCCTTGTCGCTTCCCGGGCAGTGGAGGGGGAAGGGGGAAGAAAAGGACCCAGCGCTGCCGGGCGCTTGGCTCCTCCTCCCCCTTCACCTCCTCCTCTTCCAGCCGGCAGCCGGCTGCCTTGTCGCTTCCCGGGCAGTGGAGGGGGAAGGGGGAAGAAAAGGACCCAGCGCTGCCGGGCGCTTGGCTCCTCCTCCCCCTTCACCTCCTCCTCTTCCAGCCGGCAGCCGGCTGCCTTGTCGCTTCCCGGGCAGTGGAGGGGGAAGGGGGAAGAAAAGGACCCAGCGCTGCCGGGCGCTTGGCTCCTCCTCCCCCTTCACCTCCTCCTCTTCCAGCCGGCAGCCGGCTGCCTTGTCGCTTCCCGGGCAGTGGAGGGGGAAGGGGGAAGAAAAGGACCCAGCGCTGCCGGGTGCTTGGCTCCTCCTCCCCCTTCACCTCCTCCTCTTCCTCTTCAAGCCGGCAACCGGCCGGCTTGTTCCTCCCAGGGCGGCGGCGGTGGCGGCAGGGGAAGGGAAAGGGCCTGGCGCTTGGCTCCCCCTCTCCTGCTTCTGGCTACTTTTGAAACACCCGCCGGCCAGCTGGGGGGAAATGCCAGCTGATCGGCGGTTCCAAAATGGTGGCCCACTGTTTTCTGGAGATTCCTCGCTTACCGAGGCGGCAAAAATGGCCGCCCCTATGGAGGATCCTCGCTGAACGGTGAGTTTTTGCCCCATAGGAACGAATTAAACAGGGTTTGATTTGTTCCTATGGGGTTTTTCTTTCCGTTTAGCGATGTTTTCGTACAGCGACGTTAATCCTGGAACGGATTAACGTCGCTGTGCGGGGCACCACTGTATATGCACTGTATGAAGCTGGAAATACTTGGCTGCCACATCCATTCATACTCACCTAAACACTCCTGTTCGGGATCACCCCAGTGATCTTCTTGGCATTCAGAGCAAACACGTCCTCCAAAGCCCGCCTGGCAGTGGCACTGCCCTGTGAACTGAACAGGGTGAAAAATGCTGGTAAAAGATGCTGGTTTATAGGAGGATGCCAAGGCGTAAATATCTTAGGCTCTCCTGTTTTGGTAACTCTTTCTTTTTTCCGGTCGACCCTTTCAATGTTTGGGTCACTTACCATATTGCAGTCTGAACGTAATGAATGGGCAGGGTCACAGTTGCATGGCTGACAACCCAAGTCACTGCCAAAGCCCCAGAAATTAGGAGCACATCGGTCGCAATTCTTGTCCACCACATTGGCCCGGCAGGGGCAATTTCCTGTCGTTCGGTCACAGTGGCAAATGCCTTTGGAACAGTGTGTGAGCAGTGTGCCTTGCTCATTACAGGTACAACCTGAGGAAAAAAAGGAAGGCTTGAGCTAGGACATGGATACAAGGAACAGCTTCCTACCTGTTATCCCACCCTAAAACCTGTCAAAGTAAGAAACCAGTCCTGCCTAGGAATAGTGTGATGTTCCAAGGACTGTAAAAATGGCTGTTCTTGGTCCGCTTATTACTGAGTGCTGAGAAAAATCACAATAAAAGAGCAGGCTATGAAACTCATTAGGAAAGATAAGGGAACAGTTTTGAAACCTAAATTCACCGACCATGGTGGTCCTTTCATTTCTTTGGCATGCTTTGTTTAGAGCCATCTGTGGAAATCCCAAGTCTTTGCCCCATTATAAAAGCAGAACAAATAAGTCATTTTGCTGAAGAATGACAGGTTGATTAAAATCAGGATGCCTTAAAAGTTAATTTTATGAAAGTCTGTGGACCTCAAGCAGTAAATCTCAGCCAAACCTTAGTCAGAGGACCACTATGAATCTTACAATGACCTCCTGATGCATTCCATGAGAAGTTCCTGAAAGATTTATACTGTTCCTACACTTCACTACTTCGGTACTACCAGGAGACGTATCCTTAGAACAAGCTTTTTTACAATTTTCAAGCTTAATACAATCTTCTCCAGTCCTTCAAAGCAGTACAGAGATAGGTATCAACTCAACATTCCTGCTATTTCTCAGCTACTCCCTAGGTCTCACTGAAAGATAAATAATATATCTTACCAATGTGCTGAGGTGTAAATACACTTACATTAAAGCAAATATATTCCAGTCATATGATGTCTTACATCAGTATTCACGGGCTCTGCTCTGACCCCAAAATGGGCCGCACACATGCCAAGGCCTCCCACGTTCTCTTCCTTTAGGCCTTATGGTCCCATAGCCAGCCAAACACAACACACACACACCCTGTTCTCAAAGCACAGGTTTCTCCCATCCTCACAACCCAGGCCAAGCCATCATCCCACTCACGTCGGCAACTCCGCTGAAATGCATTTCCATAGTAACCGGGCTGGCACTCGGCACAGCGGGGTCCTCCCGTGTGGTAAAGGCAGCGCAGGCACTGGCCAGTGTGGGGGTCACAGGCCTCAGGGTCACTGGTGTCAATGTTGTTGTTGCACTGACAAGGGCGGCAGGCTCCATCCTCCAGCTGAGGGGCTCCAAAATAGCCAGGGGAGCAGCGGTCACAACGTGGGCCTGTCCAAGATAGGGAAACTTATCCGTGGCATGCAGAACCAAATACCTCAAAGTAATCCCTCAATAACTGCCCTTTCTCTCCCCTCTCACTGAGGCTCAATGGAACTTGGAATTTGTCTTGTGCCCTCTTAGAAACAAGGAAAAGGCTGTCTGTGGAAAACTGGAAACCCATGTCCCCCACTTCCTCTTCCCTACTACTGTACGTGTACAACCACTCCTACTGAATTTTAATCAAAAATTATGAAGGTGGGGAGAAACTCAGGGATGTTAAGAGTTCAAACCAAGAGTGAATAACCTAATAGTCGTTAGGTTCAGGGTCTTAACTCTGTGTATGTGTGTGTGTGTGTGTGTGTGAGACAGAGAGAGAGAGAGCATTAGAGAGGGGAAGATGAGTGAGGTTATGTAACAAACCTGTACAATCTATGACCCACACATTTGAAAATCTGTAAGCGACCAACTATACCTCCTGTTTTGGTACCTGTCCAAGAAAGCCAAAATGCAAAAGTTGTGAAGTATTTGGTTAGAAGTTGGGGCATTTTTGAGTTTGGGATTTATTTTTTTATTTTTTTGTAAGTCCCAAATTATCTGCAGGTTGCTGCAGTTATGGTCTGAAAGGGTTCGGAGAGGGGCTTTTCTTTCAGAAGACGCAATATGCCCAATTCTGAGCCTAAAATAATTCGGGTTAATGGCCATCTCGTGACCACTGCTATCCCTTTGCCTTACAGGATACCCATACCTGTATAACCTGGAGCGCACAGGCAAACAATCTGGTTCGTCTCCCTATCAGTGTAACAGGAAAGGCCATGATACTGCCTGGAGCCTGGATACCCAGGACAAGGGCACGGCCGACACTGCTGCCCTGATCCCAAGACGGGGTCGCCATAGTAACCATCCAAGCACCTGTAAGAGAGGCCAGAAGAGAAGACAGTCAGTGAAACCATCACCATGGTTTCTGGGGCTTAGCTACCTTTGGGCACGTGCAGGCCTTTCTAGGTTAGAAGTACCCTTTGCTACGCCACTGCACAGTACAGGCCTCTCACAGCATAGTCTCTAACCTAATACAGTGGTGCCTTGCTTGACGATGTTAATTTGTTCCAGCGAAATCGCTGTAGAGCGAAAACATCATCAAACGAAATAAAAAAAACCCATTGAAACGCATTGAAAACTGTTCAATGCGTTCCAATGGGCTGAATACCTGCTTGTCCAGCGAAGATCCTCCATACGGCGACCATTTTCGATGCCTGTAAAGCAAGGAATCCGTCCCAGAAAACAGTGGGGGGGCCATTTTCTTCAGCCGGCGGCCATTTTGAAACCTGACGTTCAGCTGTTTGCTGATCATCGTAAAGTGAAAATCGGTTCCCGAAGCAGGGAACTGATCATCATTAAACGAAAAAAACCCATTTAAATCATCGTTTTGTGATCGCAAAAACCTAACCGTACAGCGATTTCCTCGTTAAGCGAGGCAATCGTTAAGCGAGGCACCACTGTATGTGTCCTCCTCTCTCACACCGCAGGTCCTCTGCCTGTATGTTTCCTGTGCATTGCCTGCTGTGTCCTAAAAGAGGACTGTTATTTCAGCACGTTTCTGTTCCTCAAAGACTGGTATCAGAAACTCAAGCTAGATGTCATGAGTAACTCCATGACTGTGATAAACAGTCATCATACAATGAACAATAAAGCATCTGTGGTTGTAGCTGATAAGGCGGTATCGGGAAGAAGAAACTGCTAATCCCTTTTAACAAAAGAGACCATTGCACAAAATTCTTCCTCAAAAGAAATATTTAATATTTCTTTTTTGTTTGTTTGTTTTGTTTTGTTTCCTAGCATAAATTTGTTGTTGTTGTTGTTGTTTTGTTTCCTAGCATAAATTTTTCCCAAGCAGTGTCATTCTTATGACTCAGAGATACTTACCTCTCACAGTGACGGCCGGCTGTGTAATCACGGCACTGGTGGCAGGCTCCGGTGTGCGAGTCGCATTCTTCCGAGTGCCCATTGCAGTGACAGGGCCGGCAACTTGGGAAGCCCCAGTGCCCTGGTGGGCACTGATCACACGGACGTCCTACTGTGCCGTGCTGGCACCGGCACTGTCCACTTACCGGGTCGCAGATCCTGGAAATAGAGCCCTCAGGGGAACAGGCACAGGCTGGGGGGGGGACAAATGCCAAAGGAACAAAGAAACAAACAAATATTTTTTTTAGGTTAAAGATATTACAGAGCAGAGGCTTAACTATGGCACATGGAAAAATCTCCTAATAAGGAAATGTTGTCTACCTTCTACCTGATTCAAGGTGACTTCACAGTCCCCATCTGTCTTATAATCTGTGTAGCTTTTCCGAGATCCTCAAGGCAACTAATAGTAGCTGATTACTCCCTGTTGTGGAGTGCCCCCTTCTCAATCCTTAGTAAGTGACTTTAGAGCCATGTCCAGGTCTGACCAATTTCTCCAATATGATTAAGGAAATGTTGTCTACCTTCTACCTGATTCAAGGTGACTTCACAGTCCCCATCTGTCTTATAATCTGTGTAGCTTTTCCGAGATCCTCAAGGCAACTAATAGTAGCTGATTACTCCCTGTTGTGGAGTGCCCCCTTCTCAATCCTTAGTAAGTGACTTTAGAGCCATGTCCAGGTCTGACCAATTTCTCCAGTATGATAGACATATACAAATATTTGAAGGATGTCATGTGGAAGATGGAGTGAGCTTGCTTTTCTGCAGCTGTAGCATGTAGGACCCAAAGTAATGGATTTAAATCACAGGAAAGGAGATTTTGACTCAACATTAGGAACAACCTGCTCACAGTGAGAGCTGCTCAGGAATGAAATGGGCTGCCTTGTACGGTGGGGAATTCTCCAACATTGGCAACCTTTCAAGAGCAGTCATAGAATCATAAGACAGTGAAGTTGGAAGGGGCCTACAAAGCCATCAAGTCCAACCCCCTGCTCAACGCAGGAAAACAAGTCGCTTTAGGTAGGAATGTCCTGCTTTGGGAAAGTGCTGGACTCAATGACCCCTGCAGTCCATAAGCATGGGATTTTTTTGGAATTTGTGGACTTCAACTCCCAGAGGTCTGTGGGAATTCCCCAGACAGCCTTTTTGGGGCTTTAATCAAGAAATCAAAGTCCTGACAGGTGTTTTCAGATTCTTAAGCTAATATATTCAGACTCTGTCAGTCATTTGCATCCTATCCGGAAGACAGGGGAAATGGGTGAGCAGGGCTAAAAGATGTGGGATTTGCAAGGGATTATGGGAATAGTAGTCTCTGTCCATCAGGTTCCGCATAGCATGGCCCTCAAAAAAACTACCAGACCCTTAATCTCTTGCAGCTCTCATGGAGCTTAGCCCTGTCCACCCATTTCTGCTGCCTTCTCCATGGAATGAAAATGGCTGCCGGAATCCAAATTCATTATGTATAAGAACATGGAAACATGTGTCAGGATTTTGATTTCTTGATTAAATCCACTAGAAGTCTGCCTAGAGGGATTCCTGTAAACATTTTTTTTGGGGGGTACCGTTCACAAATACCAAAATTCACAAACCTAGCTCTCTTCCAGTCCTAGTCTTCTATGATTTAATGCTTCTATGAATGTGAAAAAGCCTTTGGCAAATTCTTACCAAAAGAAAGCCAAAACAACCATGCCAAGTCTGGAAACTGCTGTGCTACCACTTCTGCAGTCTGTAAGCTGTAGGCCTAATGCATAGTTGCAGAAAGAGAAGAACGCATGTAGGGAGAACCTCTGGTACACCCTCCTGCCTTTGTTACTCACAACTGCAGCCGTAGGGTCCAAATCCGTAGGTGCCTGGGACACACTGATCACAGCGCTGACCCATCACATTGGGTTTACATTGACACTGTCCGCCCAGTTTGTGGCAGACACTGCTGGTAGAGCCCTGGGGATCACACTGACAGGCTATGGAGAGAAGAAAGAATACAGCCAAGAGTTAGGGAATGCAGCTATTTAGAGGAGAGGAGGTTGCTCCACTTCACACAGATGTCAACACAACAGACTTTGAGGTCTTCCTCTATCTGGTGTGGGGACGAGTTAAAAGCAAATGCTCACTACATTAATGCAGTCTCTGGGGCTAACTCACAATTTTGGAATGGCCCCCCGTTGTAATCGCACAGGAGTATGCAAAAAGTCAGTTTATTATTATTTTTACACCATAACAAAATAGTAGTAGCAAAGAGTGATATCATGCAGAAGATGTTTTCCAGCCTCATTCAGACAACTGATCCTAAAAGCTATGAATTTTAGCTATTGTTTTGCTAGCTTTAACATTTCCATGCTTCTAGCTCTCCTGATTACAGAGACCGACATCTGATCTTATATTTGGCATACACAAAAAATATGTCAGATTGATTGTGAGGCAATCCCCTGCACTTCAGCTTTGAAACATAACCCTATACATTAGGGTTTAACAATTATATAAATATACAGTGGTGCCCCGCATGACGACAATAATCCATTCCAGGAAAATTGCTGTCCAGTGAAATTGTTGTCATGAAAAAAAAAAATCCCCATTGGAATGCATTGAAAACCGGTTAATGTGTTCCAATGGGGAAATACCCCGTCATCCAGCGAAGATTGTCCATAGAGAACCGCCAATCAGCTGTTTAAAATCCCTGTCTTGTGAAGCTTCTGTCCGGAAAACACCCATTTTGTGAAGGGAAGCCAGCCATTTTTGCGAAAGGAAGCCATTTTGCAGAACCGGAAAAATCGTTGTTTAGCGAACAAATGGTTCGCGAAGCAAGGACCTCATCAACGTCAAGTGGATTTCCCCCACAGGAACCATAGTTTTGCGGTCGCTATAGCGATCGCAAAAAAGTCATTGTAATGTGGTTTCGTTGTACTGTGGGGTCGTCGTATTGCGAGGCACCACTGTATAGCCAATGTATTTCTTGAGTATAGCAAAGAATGTCTTCTCGGGGAACCATGGGAAGACAGCCATTGTCTGAGAAGTTAGAGACACATGCCTTCCCATCCTCTGCCTCGAGTGTCCTAGAACCATGAAGGGTTCCTTCCAGATCTCCTGGAGGAAATCATACATCCTTTAGGAAAAACAAGTAGATACCCAAGGGTACCTCAAAGGAAAGTTTCCTTCAGGAAGGAGCTTCAAAGGAATATCAAGTTAAATTACTTGTTTTATGGTTCTTTTCCCAATATATCCATGTACTCAGCTTTGGTTCCTGAGACAGCATCTACATGCATTGCTGTTGTGTATATGACAAAACATTTTCCTAAACCCTCAACACACCTCATTACAAATTCTTAAGAGAAAGGTTCCCCACCACTGCAGTAGCAGGTTTTGTTTTAATGTTTTGGTTGCAGAATTCAGAAAAATTATTTAGCATGGCATTCAACACCCACCTTCTCCTCTTTCTATAGACTCTTGTCCATCTATCAAGAGGAGTTCAGCTAAGGGAATCCCATGCTCCCAGTCCAGCCCACCGGCTGCAGAGTCCAGGGCGCTTCAAACGTGTGGATCTACTTAATTTCCACAGTTCTTTAGGCACTAGGGCTGCCCACCGCATGACACTACCCAGTTCAAGGAAGATCCCGCATCCTTGCCTTGGTCTTCCACCCTAGGCCGTAAGCCTTTCATGTCTCTCTGTTTCTGACCCACATGCAGCCCTTCACTCACGCAGGGCTCCATCGTGCATCAGGGCAGAGATGCTGCAGAGCAGGCGGGCGCAGGTCTCGGCCAGGTCAGGCATGGTGGCCATGCGGAATGCCTCCAGGCAGGTGTAGCGCTCTAGGGCCTCCCGACGCTCCACCGCTGCCGGATCATTGCCATGGAGACCAGGAAGCTCTGTCACACGCGGCAAAAGAACCAGCTGCAAGAAAGCCGGGGAGGGGGGTGTTGGAGAGGGAGGACATAAGAGAAATTTCAGTCAGATTGGGACAAGTAGGAATATTAGTAGCCAGGGTGGGATTCAGATATGCCCTAAGCTAGGTCCAGTTTAAGAGGCTCCAGTGCATTACTAAAATATAGCTGAACTCTTGTTGCTTAGCTACGCACACGGAAAGGAAAGTGTGTAACATTCAGTTGTTTCTGACTTGCAATTAGTGAGTCGCTGCTAGGATTTCTCAGGGGAGTGTGCACTGCTCGAGAATCCCAGCACAGACTCATTAATGGCCAGTGAGAAGTCACTGGAACTTATGTCATTTGCTTTCCATATATGTATCTAAGCAGCAGGATTTTGGCTGATATGTATTATTCCAACAGCTCCCCCTAATCTGAGGCACCAAGTTATAGTTTAATTAGTTTATGTATAAATCTCGACCCTTATTAGTGTAAGAAGGAGGACCTCCCACTAGGATGAATACTATATAAGCTACTAACTAATACTAATACCAGATGCTTTAGAACAATCTGGAGCATAAAGCTGACTCAGATATACAGTGGCTTCTCACCGAGTCAACAAGGATGAAGGCTGCGGGATGGCGTTGTGTCACACCTGCCCGCTGGAACCGCGCAGTGATCTCGTAACGGTTCCTAGGTTCAAAGCAGAAAGGCCGTGGCAGAAGCACATACCTGTGGAGAGAAGACAGGGTGAAGACAGGGAAGGCAGGGACAGTGTAGCAGTGGTGGGTATGGATAGAAGAGGGCTGAGGAATGCCGTGTTGATTTTTGCAGGTTTAGAGAGCTGATGGGTTAGTTTGGTAGCATGCCAGGTAATGCAGTTAATTGTTCAAATTCAGTGCAGTTTGCTAACACCTAGCAGTCAAAGTGTCAATCTCTTTGCTCATCTGACATGTGTGTGAACTGGGTCCTGCCGGATATCTGTCCTATAGGGCCACATGACAGCCTAGAAGAGAGATTGCACACCATACCTAAAATGAAAATTTACTTGGGGAAACTGGCAAACACATGCACGGCATGTCTTTTTTTTTAAAAAAAAGCAGAGTCTATTGTTTAAAGGCAGAGTAAAAAATATCATCTAGGTCTGAACTTCCAGCACCTCTCACTTCACAGAAGTTGTGAAAGACCAGAGAGGAGACGAAGAAACTTACACTGTTAATTCCCTGGGCACTGCATGGACTGCCATAGATTAGTTCTCTTCTCAAACTGGCAAAAACATGCCATCGCCCACTGTCCCCTCTCCATGTGCCCTCTGCTCATGCTGTGGAAGGTTAAACATACTTCACAAAGTTAGCCAGACAGTTTTACGGCTTTGTTAGATTGATCAACATACCTAAAGTGTCAGTCTCTTTGCTCATCTGACATGTACGAATGTGGACATGGATTACCAACCCCCCCCCCAAAAAGGCAGCAGTGACTCTTTCAAGGAAATGTCCTATTTTATCCAGGTGTTTATATTTACTCACAGGAACATAAAATAACCCTGTTTGATTGGTTCGGAAGCCCACATTGAGTATGTACTTACACACCTGGGATGGGAGCACACAAAAGTGTAAAATGGCACAAAGCCAGTGCAGAACGTTGGCACGTGTTGTGGGCAACAGTAAATGGCGGATTTGATAGTTAATAAAGCTCCTGCAAGTATCACTGCAAAGGCAACAGCTGCCTAATGTCATGTCCTGAGCAATCTTGTTTAGAATGGAGCTGCTTGTGAATGACAGCTGCATTCCGAGACCATTAGAGGGAGTGAGAGGCACTCCGTTGAGTTAGGAAGAGGAAGATAAAGCTGAAGAGACTAATCAGTAATTTACAACTATGGCAAAATGCAAGATGGTACACATACACATCCAAGGAGCTCTTGGGACTGGCAGATGAATCTTGGTTCAGCCCTGACAAGGATAATAATGTCCAGAGCAACAGGCTTTAGAGGGTGCAGGATAGACACACAGCTCTGTCCTCCAACAGAAGTGAATGGTCAAGGAGATGAGTTAAAATACTGGATGCTCCTAGCATTTGAAAATGGGGAGGGCTGGGAACCAGGACGCTGCTTTTCCCAGCGTTTGCTCACTGAAACTAGTGCCTCATTTTGCTTAATGCCACAGCCATACAGCATGGAAAATAGATTTATAGTCAGGCAGCAGTCCTATGTTAAGGAATGTGATTAGTTACAATGGTAATGTGATTAGTTTCCAAAAATCATCCAACAAGATGTTTGCATATGTTTTTAAAAATAACTTCCTCTTCCATTAGATTAAAGCACTTGAACACACCCTTTTATCAAAGTATAACAATAGAAAATCCAGTTCTAATGGATGCAGGGGTGGAGACAGGAAGGAAAATTATGCTGTAAACATAAGAAGTGCTAGCTTTCCTTGTCTTAGAGGCAAAAGCGTTTTGTACAGCTCATCTTTCAAATGGAACAATAAGAGCGGATTCCCTCACAGTGCTACCTGCATGCTAGCGATAAAGAATGGCAACTATTCAAAATGTCAAACCAGTCCTGTATTCAATTGGTTCTAGAAAGGGAAGAGCAAACTTCAAAGGTGATTTGGTATTTTTGACTGAAGTTTTTTTGTTTTTTCAGCCAAAGGGCAATCTGAATATAAATGCAGACCAACAGAGAAGGGGCAGCATCAGAAATTAAAAACAACAGACAAAAAATTGACTATAGGAGAGGAAGCCTACATCATAATTTATTCACTTCCGTATTGATTTCATTTTCTTTGCTCTCACTTCCAAGAACAGATTTAATGCTTCCTTAGTTTCTTCCAAAAATGTGGCAAACAAGTGCGTTCCCCTTCAACAATGTGACTTAGTATGTTAATAATTAAGCTCTATTGGATAACTACAATACTGTAGCTCTAGTCACTTAGCAGGCAGGGCTGACTGGGAATCAGCTCATATTGTTCCATTTAAAAAGATGCTCTGTACAAAAATCTTGTGAGACAGGTAACAGATTTTAAAAAAGAAAATGGCAGAGTTGGTAAGTAGCTTGGAATGTGAAGGGGGAAATCCATGAGGTCTTGATTTCTACAGTATTGCCTACTGGCCTCCTTTAGACCCTCCTCTGTGTTCATTTCACTGGTTCTGCTCCTCTGGGTCTCACCTGGAACTGTGCGGAAGACTCTGTCGATACATTTGCTCAGAGGGTAGCACGTTGCCACACCGCGGGCTCACAGGTAAAGCCTGTGAGGTGACACTGATGACAGCTTCCCAATCCTCTGTGGACTAAAGGAAGATACAGCTGGCTTAAAATATAAATAATAATAATCAGGCTTACAAAACGTAAAGCATTGGAAACCCTCTGCACTAAAGAAGCTTCTTTTGCAAAAAGCCATTAGCAGACACTAATAGAAACAAAATTAAAAAAAATAAAATACTAACACCTAGTTCTAGAAATACTTTCCCCCTTGAGCAGCTAAACGTGCTTACTCCTTAGCTGTCTTCCATACCTTTCAACTCTAATGCCCTGTTCCATCAAAATCACCTGTGTGCAGCTATTAGATACATCTATAGATGGAACCAGAACCCTTACCTAGCAAAGATCCAGGCATCACCCTGTAAATCACAACATCCTTACCTGTTACTCTATGCATCAGATGCAGGAATAGCAGCAATTACTTTTGCTGCTCCGCTGACTTGCACCTAAACAGGCACCCAAAACTCCAAAACAGCTGGCACAACACTGTGGTTAACACTAAAACTGTGAGGAATGGGTTCAGAAATCTCACTTTCTCTCTACTCTGCGGTCCATCTAGTCCTCTTTCTGTAATATGTCTAATGTGTGGGTTCTGTGCCGCCACGTTGGAACGGACTTATAAGTGACCCTAACAGGACTTTCAAGTTAAGTGACATATTTACGGTTTTATCGGTCCCTACAGGGATATTAATATTGGCTAACTCTCACAGATTGTTGTAGGGATTGCAGAAAAAATACATATTTTACAGGAAGCACTTAATTAAAGTAGTATGCAAAGATTCATTATCAGTAACAAATCAAAGTATTCTTGTCCGAGCAACTGTTTTTGCCACTGCTTGTACTTCCCAAACCCAGATTTTCTAACATTGCCCACTTTGAGCCACTCTACACGCGACAGCTCACGGATTTAGGCATCTGACTGCAGAGCCAGAGGTTGGGGGTTCGCTTGCCCACTGTGCCCTCTTGACTGGGGCCGGGCTTGATGATTCCTTCCAGCTCTGCAGTTCTAAAAAATATTACACTAGGGTATCACCAGTACCACCCAATGTAACGAACCACCAACGCGCCTTTCTCCAGCTCCTTCTACGCACCTCAGGCTCATAGCGTAACAAGATGTCATACTCCATGGGGTAGGGAATATTGTCAATGTGGAAGGCTAAGCCAGCTCCATCCCGTACGCGGGCAAAGCCTGGACCAGTCCATGTAATCATGTGACCTGTGTGCTCGCGCTGCATGATTTCCACATCAGGCTGCGGGTTAAAAGACAGTGTTAGCAAAGCCACGGTCCTGTTTAGTTTCCAGTAATTATACTCCTGGCCAGCCCAGAGAAGCAGAAGGTGTGCATTTGGCCCAGCCCTTGGAAAAACTACTGGCATGGTGGGGAATACTGGGCGATTCTGGAAGCTGTCATTCAAAACATTAACCTTTCCAAACTGTGCTCTTAGCAAGCAGGAGTGCAAGTGAAGGAAGCCAGGTCTTGTACATCAGCACTACAACTCTACAAGACATTGCACTCATATGGGCTGTTGATCTCAACACGCTTGCAAATTACAAACCTTAAGTACAATACACTTCCATTTTTCTCTCATCTGCTTTTTTCCACAAACGCCAGCATTCATAACATTTCAAGTGTCCTTTTTTCCGTTATGGATCAACACCAACTGAGTGGCCCAAAGTAGCAAGACCAGCCCTACTATTAGGCAGAGTGAGGTGGCTACCCAAGGTGTCAGGTGCTGCGTAGAGGAGCAATGGGAAGGTACTGGAGTTATGTGTGCAATGCAGCCTGCTGTACTCTCCTTAGACTAGCTTGCTGCTCATGACCACGATCACATTGTTGTCTGCTTGTTTTTGTACATGGAAGGGGCAACTGCACGCCACCTTTTCCCTTCACTCCAAGCAGCAAAATGTTTTTGGCTGGGTCTGCATCATAGTGTTCCAGCCCAATCCATGAGTGGCCCATGGAGGTCTCTGTTCCTTTAGATCAAAGTCACCTTTTGCTGAAGTTGCCGGGCTCTACGAAGTGCTCCTCGCTGTTGTAAGAGCCGTATTGTGGAATGCTGGCGTCGCAATCTCACTTTGCGCCCATTCTGGACCCCGTTGTAATATTCCACACAGTCCATAGGGGCCTCAGGCCGCAAAACACCCTACGACAGAGAGGGAAAGTATGAGCAGCATCATGGCACAATGGTTAAGCTGCAGTACTGCAGTGGAGACTCCATTCACGACCTCAGTTGGATCCCAATGTATTCAGGGGTAGCCAGCTCAAGGTTGACTGAGCCTTCCATCCCCCCAAAGTTGCTAAATTGAGTACCCAGCTCATGGGGTGGATAGGCAATCTGTGCATAATTACATTGTAAATTGTCCAAAGAGTGCTTTAAACACTAAGGGACAGATAGAAGCACCATACTTTCCTTTATTGGATCACCAGTTTTTTATATTTTGTAATGGCCACATGGTTCACCCCGTTTATTTCAGTGAAACTATGAGGGCCAAGAAAGAGAACGCCCTCCCCTGGACCAACAAGAAGGCACAAGGACTCTCAACACCAGCAGAACAGGACCGCAACCACTAGGTAAAACTTCTTTTTACTTTAATCGGTCCCCAACTTGGCTCTATCTAAACGACTTCCGGCCTTATTTAAGGCAGAGGTACCTGGCAAAAATTCGTCTTGCCAGGGCCCTTAGAACTAAGAAGAACCGCTTGGTAAATCTCACCTTGCCACAAATATTTAGACTTTTGGTACTTGCTTTAAAGTGGAATTTACCCACTCAACAAATATACTTGTGGTCTTATTTGCAACTTAGTTCATATACTTGTAATTTTCAAATGTGAAGTGTATGTGTTTTATGTAGACTGTCAGGCACCTTAGGCTCCTGTGAGAAAAGATGGATAACGATGATGGTGGTGGTGATGAGGATAATGATAACCTTGCCACAAATATTTGGACTTTTGGTACTTGCTTTAAATTGGAATTTACCCACTCAACAAATATATTTGTGGTCTTAGTTGCAACTTAGTTCATATGCTTATAATTTGCAAATGTGAAGTGTATGTGTTTTACGTAGACTGTCAGGCACCTTAGGATCCTGTGAGAAAAGTTGGATAACGATGATGGTGGTGGTGATGAGGATAATGATAACACCTAACAATTATGAGAGGAAACAAGGCTGCAAGGATAAAGAGCCCAACAGTGGAATTCCTCTACAATCTGGCTCACTTGCTTAAGCCATCTGGATGGATTATTTGACTGAACTCCTCCTTACCTGCAAACACACCTGATGTGACGTGGTCACACATGTTTCTACATATAAAACATTCCGGTTTTCATAGTGAACCTGATGCTGTAGGACAGACTGAACGTGTGACACACAAGATCTTTAAGCCAGTATACTAAACTCAGTAACTTTCCATTCTCAGCCAACTGCATGTGTCTCAGGGGACTATGAAAATAAATTGGGAGATGGATCTGGGGGGTCTGAAATGGATTTAAAGTTGTGTGAGAGTCATGCGGTTTTTGGATTTCTGTATATGTCCTCTCGGGGAAAACTTTAACTCTGTTTTTAAAATGTGTTGTATATCAGTCGAGCAACTACATGGGCTTTTGGAATCGTTGCATTTGAGACTTCGTCCTGTACCTGCCCAACCTCGGGCTGGCTGCCTCTCTCGGCTACTTGCCACTGCTGCTGCTGTGGTGTTATTTTGAATATTTTAATATTTTTAAAATGTACTGCAATCTGCAATAGCACTAGTTTGATAAGGAAAAAAAAAACAGATCAGATTGCACGGTTTCACTGCAGCCCAATATATGTGCACGGAGACAGACAGACGGACACACACATACACACACACACAGAGGGGGTGGGGAATGGAGAAGGAGAGGGCTGGTGAAAGAGAAAACACACCAGTGAGCAGAAATTTAGAAGAGCCAGCAAAGACAGAAAGGTTGAATGGTAGAAAGCGTTCCCTCCTTTGCATGCCTAGAAGCTGTCAATCTTAGAAATTTCTCTGGTCAGTTTCTCTTTGACACTCACCTCTTCCCAGTTTGGCTGCTAGATGCCATGCTTCCTCTCCTTCTCCCCCCCCTCCCCTCCCCGTGTGTCTGTCTGTCTCCATTAGTTGCGTTGCAGTGAAAGCTTGCAGTCTGATCCTTCTTTTTCCTATCTGTGGTATAAGCACTATGCCAGATCACAAGAAATTTTAAAATTTTAAAAACAAACCCACAGCACCATTGGTGGGTAGCTGTGAGAGGCACCCAAGGTGAATTGACAGAACATACACTGACATAGGCATTCATATATGCCGAAACAATTCAAAATTAAATCGATCTGACATCCGAGTAAAAATAAATGAACCTCTGGTGGTCATGTAAAATAACTTGCTTCTGATTTAAAAACAAAAACAAAAACATGATTCCCAGGCAAAACAATCCATGCTTCCATGCAGTCACCTTTTATAAAAATTTATTTAAAACAGGCTAAATTCAATTCAAATATGTTTTTCCCCTAGTGCAACCACGCTCTCAGAGAGGAAAATGTAAATCCCTCTCTTGTAACTTTTTTTACCAGGAAGAGGCAGATACAGCCTTCAGACCATCTGCCACTTCCAATCCATTTTGCAGCCCCCAGAGCCCTCAGACGTTTCCCCACCATCACCCCAAAATGTTTTCTTTTGAAGAAAGAGATACTTGATCCTGAAAGCATCCAAGAAGCACAATTCTCCTTTGAATTATACCCCTTTCCACATGCACAGCTTACTTTAAAAAAAAAAAGGTAAGGTTTTGAAAAATTAGAAATGAACTTTCAGCTCCTTCTAGCTCCCGGGAAGCAGGGTAAACCCCTCCAGCGGATCTGGGACGGAAACAACTTCCCCCTAATTTTCAGCCCTGATCGATGGGGCTCCACCCCTCTCTCACGCGGCTGCACCCCATGCATGTGTGACTATGCGCCCCCCCACATGGAGTTCCATCATAACCAGAACCAAACAACTGTTGTGGGTGTGTGGAGGAGGAAGGCTGCACGGAGGGAGCGGAGCCATGCACACTTATGGAGCCTCACACCTTAAGAGGGAACCTCGGATGGGAGGAATGGCTCACTAGATCCACCCAAGGTATCTACCGCTTTCTTAGACAAATGACGTAAGGCAGTGGTCCCCAACCTTAGGCCTCCATATGTTCTTGGACTACAACTCCCAGAAGCCTTCACCACCACCTCTGCTGGCCAGGATTTCTGGGAGTTGAAGTCCAAGAACATCTGGAGGCCCAAGGTTGGGGGCCACTGACGTAAGGGACACAGGCACAAATACTGTATCTGTTACTAAGACTGCGAGAGCTTCCTAGACCCAGATCCTTCTCTGCACATAACTAAGGGTGTCATGTTTCCCTACTCCAAATCTGGCTACCCTTTTCCCCTTCTTCTCTACTCACCGGCAGACCCTGATGGGTTGGTGCCAGACCAGTAGCATGCTCTGCTTCATACATATAGTAGTCCAGGGGCATACAGAAAAAACCAGGCTGCACATCGTCACACTGGCGTCCCATGAGATGGGGCCGACACGGGCACTGTCCATCATCCATAGAGCAGCTAGAGAAAGAGAGCACACGGGCATAATAAACTTGTAGCGGCTACAGTTAAATCATTGAACTTTACAGCTGGGGGGATTTGAGGAGAAGATAGGTAAAAGGAGAGGGGAGAGTATATGTTCAGGATCACCCCATATAGTTTCCTTCTGACTTTATCAATCAAAGTTGTAAAAGAGCATTAATGGGCAGATTCTGCAACCAATGAACGGCACTGAATCAGCCAGGTGAATCTTTGTGACTTTGTCTCACTGCTTGATGTTTTTTTCTCCTGACCAAAGACATAATAGGTGCATAAAGCAAACTGCAAAGTACAACTGATGTTATAACTTCAACTGGTATGCAAAGTATGGCCTGTAAGAGATACTGAGAGCTGGTTACTAAATAGGGAGGTGGATCCACATTATATGTATGTCAAAAATACATGTTCTTTCACAGAAATACAGGAGGATGTGTTTGGTTGTCCCATCAAGAACATCTGAATTAATTCAATCTGGGTGAAAATCAAAAGGAACACAGTATTTGGAGTCTACTAGCAACCACTCAACCAGGGAGAAGATGCAGATGAAACCTTTCAAAAATGAATTGCAAGAATTTCAAAGAGACACAATGCCGTAGTAATGGGAATTTTCAATGATCCTGGTATCTCTTGGGAGGCAAATTTTTGCCAAACATGGCCCTTCCAAGAAATTCCTGGCTTGTGTGGCTGATAATCTTCCCCTACAAAAAGCAGAGGAACAAACTAGAGAGATAGCTGTCCTTGACTTGATTCTAACCAATAGAGATGACTTGGTGGAGGAAGTGGCAGTAAGGGGAACTCTGGGCAAAGAGTAGCTGTGTTCTACTACAATTCTTGATTTCAAAGGAAACCAAAACCGAGTACAGCCACATGTGTATGCTGGGAGACAGCAAATCAGACTAATGTGGCTTCACAAAAAATCTTGGACAGCACCTGAAAATTAAAAAGGACACATAGAAAATGGAAGGAAGGCCAAGTCACAAAAGGGAAGACTACAGACAAGTAGCAAAGAATTGCAGGTATTGTGTTAGGAAGCCAAAAGCTGAGAAAGAGCTGTGGTTAGCAAGAGACACTAATAGCAACAAAAAAATTCTTCAGATACTCTGTGAAGAATCTGCACGGCACTCAGATCTGCTCAGACTTAGATGTTGTGCTTGATGTAGGTACTGTTGATGTAACTTTGGCCGTTCCTTGTCCTGTTATAATGGATACGTTTTCAGCTGGCGCAGCCTGAGGCTGTGGGCAGGGATCTCGGGGGGGGGGAGAGTGAAAGCCACCACATGTGTGCTGGACCTTTGCCAGAGGGGAACTGGCTGAGTGGGTTAAGGGAGCGGTGAAGGCCTCTTTGCAGCAAGGCAGGGCACCAGCATGTCTCTGTTTTCAAAAGCCCTCCCTGAATCCCACTGTATTGGATAATTATGGGCCAGTCTCTTAATATTCCATTTTGGGGCAAGTTTTTGGAGTGCGTGGTGGCATTCCAGCTCCAGAAGTTCCTCGGCGTTCTGATTTATTATCTAGATCCATGTCCGCAGCACCAAACTTGAGGGCAAGAGTACAATAATGGTGAATTGCTTACCACTTAATGGTGTGCAATCTGTTCAGGAGCCTGACCACTAGGAACCGAGTCAGTTTGTGCAGGAGCATATATTTCTGTCCCCTAGACCCCCATCGATAAAGTGGCCGCTGAGGTATAGGCCATCCCTATGCTTCCCCCCCCCCCCGTTGACCAGCGCACGGGCACG